AGCGCGTAGAAGGTTCTGTTGACTATCTTGGATGGAAGACTAAAAAAGGTGAAAGTAAATCAACAAACCACCTTGATGATTTTCTACGACTTACTGAAAATGAAAAATATCAAGTCCAACAAATACATGCAGGAAATGAAAGTGATATTAATATTTGGCGATGGACCTGGTTTTGTTCCAGTGAAGACTGCTGCCAAAAATCGTGTGGTGGGATCAGCAAATGCATGGAAACATGTAATTACTATTTAGATCAACGTAACCTCAAGAATCCTTTTGATATGCACAAATGTAGTGTACGAATTCTTACAGAGGTTATGCTTTCTGAGGTTGAAATGGAATTTTCTATACGCATGTCTATTAAAGGTAATCATATTCCACCAAATATTATTCGAGAAACAACTGCATTATCTCGAATTAATTTAAGTAGAGAAGCACGTGATCTTGCAATTACAAACCATCAAGCAGATAAGCAAACAACAAAAGAAATAAAAATGAAACTCCTCGCACCACATAATGGTAATTCACAAAATGAACTTGAACATTTGTATAGTGGTCAAAATTCGATATGTGATGATGTAAAGCTTTGTCAACTTATTGAAAGAGACAGTTTACGTGCAAGAAAAAATATAGGTCCCTGGACAATTGTGCATGAATTGGTAACTGATATATTAAAACAAAAGGGTGCTATATTATACTACCAGCAACCTAATATGAATATACCTGAAAACAATTCTGATCATTATTATCAACTTACCTTGAGCGATGATTTATGGCTTCAGCAGGCACATGACTTTGGCTCATTTTGCTTTGGCATTGATGGAAAGTACGACTTAAACAGTGATGGAGCACCAATTTTATCTTTAGTAGTTGAGGATAATGCAGGTTACGGAACTTCAATTGTATTTGAACTATCAAATAAAGAAAATAACCATATGATTAAACTTGCTGTAGAAGCTGTTCAGCGCAATATTCCGTGTAATAAAATTGATTGCATGCATGAATATGAATATATGGAGTTACCAAATAGTAAAGGATTTATAAGAGCCTGGTGGTGTGCACAACGATAGCAGCTATTTGCGATGATTGATAAGTATCGACTAACAAAATAGGGTCTTCAGCCTATTCTTCGTGGTGTAATTTTATGTTGGTTTCCATAATGCAAACATTTAGTGAACACTTTAAAAACTTAAGAATTGATGACTATTACCATTACCCAATTGCTATAGCTTTCAAAATAGTAGGCCGAAGTTGAAGTGTAGATGAAGCTTTAAAACTTGGAGAGGTTTATCAACTTTTTATTAAATCTCTACCACTTACAGAAGTCACAAAAGAGTTTTTGTGTAATGATTTATTTTCCAATTGGTTGTC